TTAAGACCGGATTCTGACTGCTTGGGCCAAGCGCAGTCCTGGCCTGAAGTCTTTTCTTTGGGGGGGGGATACTTGCCTCTTTTTTGACCCGTCTGGTTTTGCCGGGCGACCCCCTTCTGCCCAACTGGCCCGGACGTGCCTGGCCGGGCGACGGCCCAACATAGCTTTCGTCCTCATTCTCATCATGCCCACTGCTCTCCCCCTTTCCAATCACTGTTAATGATCTTTCATTGTTGACAGAGTCTTCCCGACTCCACTAGTGGTTAACCGGAACCGCCACTTTCAGCTCCCGAGTAACAGGTCCGAAACTGAAATTAGGGTTTGGGGGGGTCAAAGTTTATGGTTTCCTTTTCTTTTTTTTTTTTCTTTTTCTTTTTTTTGCCCTGTTTGTGCTTTGGGGTCTTGCTGTTGCTGGCCAGGATAGAATCTGTGTCATCATGCATCCTGTTTATGCTTTGGGGTCTTGCTGTTGCCGGCCAGGGTAAAATCTCTGTGTCATCATGGATAGGGGCTTATACGCCACCTCATCGTGGTGGAGGTGCTGTGGGAACTCCAAATAGTTCACTGCTGTTGAGGGGAAAAAAAGAGAGAATATTCCAGGGCTAAGATCATTAGTTCACTGCTGTCGAGAATCTCAAACAGCTCCAAATAAGACTTCCCATACAGTAGGGGACTCGGGACGGGGCCCACGTGGGGTGGGCATTTTTTTTTTTTTTTTCAGGGTGGGCCTAGGGCCACCCCACGGCATTGCCCAACTGAGCAGAGAGGTAGGCATAGACCCATAACTGTAGGTTAGCTTAGCTTCGCTTTGGGAAGTGAATTTAAGCTACGTCACTTACCCCGATCTCCATCCACCCGGTATAGAGCAGGTTTGTTAGCTACCTACCCCGATCTCCATAGGTGGTTCTAGTTCCCAGGCTACTTGTGTTCCCTGACTCGTTGTCTCTTGGCCCATTGTCTGTGCTTGATTGCCTTGGGGTGTTGTGCTGGGTTTGTCAGTATACAGGCGAGGACAATACGAAAAACCAACAGAAGAAAATAGGATAGCAAAAATACAGCTGTTCCCCATATGAGGAGAAAACAAACTGTATTTAAAAAAAAAAAAAAAAAAAAAAAAAAAAAAAAACCTTCCCATATGTACTGGGGGAGGTGAGGGGATCTTATCTTGGCTCTTGCTGAGTCCTTCAAAGATCCACTTTGCGATGCGGGAGGTTTGTGATTCAAGTGTGTGAGATGAGTTGTCCCCTTGTTCTTCCATCTCCTCGTCCAGATTTGGATGGGAGGAGGGGGTTTGTAGAGGGTCAATATCCATAGCAGGCTCGGATTGAAATACCCATCCTTGGGGATCTGTTCTCACGATCTCCTTTGTCCTCCTCCTATCCCTACGACCTATCAGACTGTCTCCCGTCGTTCTGTGTCTGTGTGGAGTGATAACGAGGGTGTTGCTGGTATTGTTGTTGTTGTGACAGCTGTTCTGGTCTCTTAGCTCTCCTCTGCGTTGGGTTGGTGGCTACCGTCTTCACCCGAGTAGAACACCCGGTCATTATAGCTGTATTTGGTGCAACTTTCAGTCCAGATACGGTGATAATTACCGGGCGTTCTATTCAGGTGAAGACGGTAGTACTGGCTACCCATTCCTGTGCATGTTTTCTGTCCTTCAACTGCAAACCTGTTGGACGTCGGCAGGCCTCGGGCTGCTATTGGGGGTGATATGGACACCCTTCAATAGCAGCCTTGTGCGTTTGCTGTTCTTTTGTCTGACCTTGTTTCCATCCCTTTTGGCTGCTGTTGCTGCCGGGGCTTAGTGCCACACCTCTGGCTCCCCTACCATTTTTGCAGGGAGGGGGCGGCGATCAGTCCCAGTCAGAAACTACTCCTGGCTCGTCCTGCCTGATGAGTGTATCAGGTCTTTGAAGTCCCTAGAGAGGCGCCCATGCCCCTTTGTTGGTGGTCTTGAACCACCAGCCAGTAGATGGCCCCGGCCAAGTTGAGAATCTGATCAAACCTCCCCTGAAATTTTTGGAGGCTCGGGGCCGGGCGTCCAAAGGGCCGGTAGGAAAAAAGAAGTCCCATGCTGTGGGGTGGCACCGGGCCCAGCCCTGAACAAAAAAACAATAAAAGATCTTCCGCCCAGACCCACGCGGGCCCTGTCCCGAGTCCCCGAACTTTTCAGAGAGGCTCATTCGAAATTCTAAAGATGTACCGGCGGTTCGAGGACCAGACCAGTCCGGGGTGTCCATCAAGCTACATTCGTCTTCCACAGAAAGCAGGGAAAGGATGCAAGCTGAAACATTTGCCTCACCAAGAGGCTCACCGATTGACATCATAAAGGTCGCAGACGGAAAGGCAGAACGAGGTCCCCGGCATCTTCATCGCCACACCAACTTCTGCCAATATTCACAGAAAAGAGGTAAGGCACAGAACAGAACCAACTCCTCACGAGTTTCCTTGGCAGAATAGAGGCCTCCATAGAACTTGGAGCTGAACAGAGTCCAAAAGTCAGCAGCAATCTGTTTTTTTTTCTTTTTTTCTTTTCTTTCTTTCCTTGTTCATTCATTTTTTGTCATGTCTGAGAAAATGGCATTCACCTGAAAATAAACTTTCACATAGACTGTACGCGAAACAGAAGGATCTTGGGTATTACGCCTTTTCGGCCTTTTCCTCTTTTTCTCCCCTTTCTCACTGGTCACGCGTTAATGTGTTCTGCTATTCTCCTGTCCCCTCTTTTCTCTTTACATTTCCACTATTTGCATCACTGCTGATTGTCCGTTCAAGAAGCGCTAGAGCAAACCAATTGAGCGATCAGCCTGAAGCAGACTTGGTGGCAGGGTTACAGGCAGAGCAGTGCATGATTCGCAGTCACAGTACACCACCATTCTAGCGTCAGGCGAACGTCCAACACCCGATGGGCAGCACCATGCCAAGAGCAATAGGAGATAAGTGTAGGCTCTGCTGTGCCATGTCTGTTCTAACTCCTCCGTCGTCATGAACCTCCCTATCCTTACAACCAAGCGTCAATGACCACATTGTTGCTCTTTTCAGTATCCAGCACAGATAAAGCACAGCCTGATGATGTGCATGGAGTGCGGGGCTGAAACGACTCCCTCCAATTCTCTTGTCTGTTTTGCCATCCACCCAGATGCATGCACACACATACATCCCCCCCCCCCCCAGCACACACATTATGTGAAGGAAGGTATGTGCATCCATGGTCAATTGTCCACCTGGCCCTACACCCACCCACCTACACACAAACACACATGCTTTGAGCAACTCCAGCATTGTATCAATGCCTGGCCAGCAGCTCCGCCTTCCCCTCCTCGCAGACACAGGGTCTGCTAGGATTGCAGGTTGGTGCGAGTGAAGTGAACTACTTTTCTCAGGGGTACTACTTTTCTCAGAGGTATTGCCAAGCTGGGATGACCTGGTAAGTCCTCCATCATTCAAATGCATCCTGAGCGACTGTCGAGGTTCTGTCTCCTGATGAGTCAGTGAAGATCCCGCGAAACAGTCTGGCACGGTCAATCCTTTTCTTGAGTTGTGTAAGGCAAGCATGACACACACACACACACACACACACACACACACACACACACACACAATCAGTTTTATGACTGTCAGTCTTTTTCCTGTTCTGTCCTCCCTCTGATTTTTTCTAAGTATTTTCTTTGTGTGCCCAACTGAGCACCCTCAAGTAGTGCCAAACAGTCGAAGGTTCCTCGTTTGGAGTGCCAACTGCACTCTTAGGGGGGCCGCTCGGTTCGGGATGTCTGTGTTGCCTATGGGTGATGACGGATGCTCGTCGGAGTGTCTCCCTGGCTCAGTGGGTGGTGGGAACCAACAGTCTGCGGGGTTTAACCGTGATGTGAGTAGGTCATGTGCTGCTTTGCTTCGTGTTGGATGTGTGGACGTCCTCGTCTGCGCTCTGCCGTTGCCCTGCTGCCTGTCCCGCTTGCTTCGGATGTGGCTCTTTGCAGGTTAATGTGTTCGTTGTGCGGTGTGGCTGTGTTGTTGGTGTTGCCTTGCGCTTCGCTGCTCCACCGCCGTGCTGCTCATCCGCTGGTTTTGCCTTCCGTGCTTGCTGCTTGTGTGCTCTGTAGGTTAGTTGCCTTGCTGCTGCTGCCTTGTGCTCCGCTCCACGGTTGCCGACCTGCTGGTCCGCTCGCCCTGTCGTCCTCTGCAGTGCTGTTGCTTGTGCTTCACTACACGGTTGCCACGCTGCATGCCTTGTGTGCCATGTCGTTCCTTGCAGTCGTTTTTGGCGTTGTGCAGCCTTGTTGCGTCTACTGTGTTGCCTGGTGCTCCATAGGGTTGCTGCCTGCTGCTATGTTCCGCTTGGGGACAGTCTGCCTTCAACAAGGGTCAAAGGGTTCATGACCCAAACCATCAAATATGGAGATTCCGCAGATTGTCGAGGGTTCAGCCTCCTGATGAGTAGGTGCAACTCTGACGAAACAATCTTGTCATCATCGTTTTTTTATTTTTTTTATTTTTTTCGGTCTTCGCTGTTTTGGGGGGACTTGTATTTTTGCTTTGCATGCTTTCTCTGTTTGAGTGACGTCTGCCCTCCCGCCTCCCCCGTCCCTTCCACCTATTGTATTTTGTTGTTGCCTGATGTCTTATGCTTGAGGTATTTTTCTGTAATTGCATTTTTTTTGTCTTTCCTTGTTTTTTGCATTTATGTATGGTCTGCCCTCCCACCTCCCCTGTGCCCCCCGGTCCTTGTGCCTTTTTGCAGCTTGTTGTCATTGCCTCCTTGCCTTTTGTTTTGCTTTACTGTGCTTCCTTTCCCCGTCTTGTGGTGTCTGTTTGATCGTGTGTGTTCCAGTTCGCCCGCAAAGTGCAGTGGGAGCATAGATGCTCATGTAGTCCGGCATAGTCATTCCCCACCTTACAGTATAGGTTCCATCTGCACCACGCCTACAAGTTCTTGTTCCTGAGCTTGCTCGTGTAGTCCGGCATAGTCAGTCCCCACCTCCGAGTACCGGATGCGTCTGCACCACGCCTACAAGTTTTCATTCTCAAGGTGCACCGATATATTATTTTGGAGCTTGATTATGATGTGGTTTCCGTATCATACCGTAATCATGTCTTATTATGCGGGTTACACACACACACACACACACACACACACACACACACACACCACGGTCCACCCGCTCAGACTGACACACATATTTGACCTTCCATCACATATCCTATCTCAGCTTTTAAAGACCTGTTGCTATATTTAATAAGCATGGATACCCCTCATCTGTAATACTCAGACTGAACCTTTGGTACTGTACGGAAAAGGGTGGAAGTATGCGCTGAACTTCATTCCATCTCTCAGCTAATTTCCCTTCTGCTACAACTTGGTTGACACCGAGATATTGGTGGCAGAAAGGTGACGAGACACAAGTTTGCAAGTTATCAGTGATAGGGTAAGTCTGATACCCGTAGGCTACCAAGCTATGCTAAGGGGAGAAACCATGAGATATTGGTGGCAGAAAGGTGACGAGGCACAAGTTTGCAAGTAATCAGTGAGAGGGTAAGTCTGATACCCGAAGGCTACCGAGCTATGCTAAGGGGAGAAACCACATGAAAATGGACTCCACAATTACTTTCAAAGTTTCGATAGAATGCCGGATGTTTTTTTTCTACAACCAACGCTCAAAACAAAGCGCAGGGAAAGATAGTGGTCGGTTCGCAGCTTGATTTAAAAGCTGGTGACCAAAACGAAAACAAATGGGCGCTGCGCTGCTTCTGAATTGTAATATTTTACTCATCAGCTTCTAGTGGAGTGGAGTTCGAATTCCTCCGCACCACCTGGTCTGTATTTCAACAGTTCAGGACCTTCAGGGGTGTACCAACTGAGCTAGGCCTGCTTCCCACTCGTACCTTGCAAGGGCATTCAAAATTTCTAAACAATGTCCCATGTCTGTGTGCTAGCCATAAAGCAATAAATGCAAAGAGCTGGGTTCCCGAATTCCACTTTCCTCCGTTTTCTACAAGCTTCTCGCCGTCTACCAATTATGTACACAAAGCTAGCGTGATTGCAACAGTCAGGCTTTTGAAACATAGGTCTCCCATCCAAAGCGGGACTCTGGTCAAAACACCTTCTGCACGTACCTGGTCACACTGGACTAYTGAAGAGGCCAGCGCACTGCTGACTGACTTCTGCCACAAATGGGAATTTCCCCCTGCTTTCATGTCATTCGTTACCATTGCTGTGCAGTCTCTCCTCTTCTCCTTCACAGGTGTCCACTTGCTTCACTCCACACATACATGCGCAACACTACCTTCTTCCCCCGGACGTAACGCATATCCGTTGTATTCGAGTTTCAAAACTTGAAAAAAAAATCGAATCGACCGCATACGCATCGTATTTGAAATTTAGGGCAGTTCGAATAAAACGCACCCTATGCATTGTATTCGTTTACACCACGTGTTTATGTTTGGGGCAAGAAGGAAGTTGCCTGTTGCGCACAACGGGCACCTGAGATGGGGTAAAGTTGCAGGTAATCCCGACCTCCTTACAAACGGGGCAGCACAGGGGGTCCGAGGGGGAAGGACACGTATGCAGACACGCACCTCGGCAGATCTGTGAAGCTGCAAAAGGAAACAGATGCCATTGTCTGATATATCTGCACTTCCATGTGGTCATCGGACTAGAACTGATGGCTACCTGATTGCGATGCGATGGAAGAAAACTCAGACTCAGCTTCACTAGGAAGAGAAGTCAGGTCAGGTCATCAGGGTCAAACTCATCCTGCGCGCCTGCCAAGGATGTGCCAGTATTTGCGTTGATGTCACCAGTTGGGAGCTTGTTTGCCAATCGGATGATCTGACAAATCGAGGGGTGATTGTAAAGCCACAGAAAAAAGCAATGGTCCCACAGCAGTCAGCATTCAGTGGGCAAACAACTGAAGCCCGCGTTATTCCCCCAACCAGTGGAAGACAAATGACGTAACAGTTATGCCATCTATTCTCGTTTTTTCTTCAGTTTGACAAGAAATCAACCTTATGGATGAGGTGCAATGGATAACACAGCTTCTCACGCCACTGCAATGACCCAACACTTCACACATGCCTTCACACTCCCGATTCACTCTTGAATCTCATTAAACCTTGCACACAAGAGGCCACACTAAAATGAGATCCTTCTTTTTTTCGTTTGAAAATCGACAGGAAAATCAACCTTATGGACGCGGTGCAATGGACCCACAGATTAACACAGCTTGTCAACGACCCCACACTTGACACATGGCTTCACACTCACGATTCACTCTCGATCACAATCAAACCTTGCATGCAAGAGAGCACACTGGCATATGAGATGATAACACTTCGGAATTACTGGAAGGTACAAAGTCTTATACAGCAAGTCTCACGTATGCATGCTTGGGGCCACCAAGCCCACTCAGCTCTCCTCTCTCTCTCTCTCTCTCTCTCTCTCTCTCTCTCTCTCCTCTAGACACACATGTCCTGAATCCCTCTCTCTTCCTCTCTCTTGACTAAGCTATGGCACTACGCTGCAACCAACTAACTGCTCTTGCCCCTCAGCCTAGCCCGTTGCATGAAAACGCCACAAGACCGCAACAGCGCTTCCACACAAATTGAAAGTACACTGACATTCTGCTGATGCAGGCCTTATCCAACTTGCAGCAGTTCCCAAATTTGGATCGTTCTGGGCCAGTCCCCAAAATCCTGCTGGGTGTGGTCTGCTTCCTGCCCATCCAGAGATTTCACGGACTTTCCTGGTACTCAGCTGCACTGACAAGTAACAAACTTGGCCTACCAGATTTCTAACCTACTGCAGGACCTACCCATTGCTGTACAGACGGGCCAACGACTCCTACAGGTTGGAACTACGTTCCATGGGATCAGTGACTTGGAACTGAGACTGGGGCTTCTATGACGCATGAAATTCCTTCACCGCAACAAGATTGCACTTCATCATGCCAAAGCTCACACAGGAGATAGAAACAAACACGAGATGATAAGACTTGGAGAATTGTTTGGAGAATCGAAGTCTTGCACAACCAAGTCGTATGATACAGGGGCTGCTGTGACCACCAGCAACATCAAAAACATGTATGGCCCTCTCTCTCTCTCTCTCTCTCTCTCTCTCTGATCTCACTTCAAGATCTCTCTCTCTCTCTCTCTCTCTCTCTCTCACACACACACACACACACACACAAAGATATGGCGCCCGGTGCTGTTTACTACTGTAGACCACAACCTCTCAAGCTCACTCAGCGCTTGGTAGCACAAGACTGCAACAGCGCTTCCGCAGCAAGCTCGAATGGAAACTGTTTTGATGCCTTGTGGTCACTGGACTATTGTACTTTGCTGCAGATCCCAATCTTGGAGTTCCCAAACCAATACCTGCTCTTGTTGGCCGCTGTAGGCCTTTGGTGCATCGGGAAGCTTCTCTGGCTTTCATGGAACTGAGCTGCCGACTTGTTGACTGACTTGATTGACTTGAAAGACAGACCTACTGGATTTATTGGGGCTACCGGACTTGAGCTAACTAACCTACCTAACAGAAGGTACTATTGTACACGGGACTCTGGGACTCAGAAAAGGAACTGGGAATGGGACCGTTGAGAACACGAAGTCCTTTCACTCCCGCCGGCCTTGCTTCGAGATTCTCCGAAAAACTTTTACTCTTCCTAACTGTGGTTCGTAATACTTCGTATACCTCCTCGTGCTTGCTCATAGTATGAAACAATTCAAAGGCCCATTTCACTGAGCTAGTAGTGGGATGCTGAAAGCGGACTTCGTGGTGTTGTTGTGATCGTCCCCTGACTCACCTCTATGAATCTTGATCGGCCATGCAATCAATGTCATAGCTGCTGCCGGTGTCAGGCGGATTAGTAGATCAATCTGCGGGGAATGATGTGTCTGATATGCAACACAACAGTTTGGAGGCCTGAAACAAAGAGTAGTTTTTTGCACTAAAGAAACTAATGGTATTGGAAAACTGCTACATTCATAAGTTTGTGCACATTTTGTCTCTACCCTCCGATCCCTTCCCTGGCTCTCGACCCCGGTCTCAACTTGTCATACAATCAAAGGTGGGCGCCAGGTGTCCAGAGCAGCACCCACTTGCACCCACCCGACCCACAAATGATGGGATTGGGTTTGGGTCCACCTAAGCCAGCTTGGGAGGGCGAGTGAAGCCAGCTCATGTCGCGGGGTGAACCGTGTAAAACACTGAAGCATGATTTGTTGGCCGAATCTTATGTTTTTCTGTTTTTTCTTCTTTGCCTGTCTTTGTTTTAGTTCAGGTTGCTGTGCGCCAAATTTGGTATCTTTTGGACCCTTGGAAATCCCTTGAACCAGCCGCGAATTTCGTGTCTTCTGGATCTTCGACCATCCACAAAATATGGCCCTCCCCCCTTCCCGCCCTCATAAGTCCAGCTGTGCAGGCACTGAGAGATGGGAAAAACACAGGTCTGGGTCCAGTTGCCCCAGCCCCAAAAAAGGACCAGGAAAAAAAAGGTGCCCTCCCGCAGTCCCGCACCGACCTTCTCCCCTTAAAGAAAGGGGAGAGAGATCTAACCACAGCAGGCAGCTCAATTCGCTCCCAAGTTTGAATTTTTCACATAGAGAATTCACGCCCCTGGGCCCAGGTTACTAGTGAGGCAACACTGACGAGTGGTGCAAGGGGGACAATCGGAGTACTGGTGGGCACATGGGCCAGGTGACGGTCCTACAGCAGGCTTCGAACACAGACGCGCACACGCGCACGCACACACACGCAC